TGTGTGTGTGTGTGTGTGTGTGTGTGTGTGTGTGTGTGTGTGTGTGCCTGACCCAGCTGCAGAGCTGAGATGGGGAAGAAAGGTGGGGAGCAGAACCTCTCTGGGAAGCTGGAGGAGGAAGGCCTGTCCCAGTGCCTCCTTTCTGACCTAATCCTCAGAGGCCTTGAGGTTGTGTAAGGGAAGCTCCCAAAGCTCTTGACAGGAAGCAAGGCAGTAGCTAATACAGGGGGTCTCCTAAGGCTCTCTCTCCTGTTTTGTTATGTTTCGTTTTGTTTTTTGTTTTTTTCACAGAGCTGGTTAAGGGTTTTGTTTTAGGATTTGTTTGGTTTTTTTTCGGGGGGGAGTTGTTTTGTTTTGTTCTGGGATCAGACCGTGAAAGGAGCTAAGGGTCCTGACCTTTGAACTCACAAACACCCCCAAAGGAGGAGGACAACTTCCCCCACCAACCTCTACAGTCGTCCTTCCCAGAAAGGCCCTGAGGGGTAACAGTGCATGTATGAAAGTGTGCAAGACAGAGGCCCTCACTGCGGGTCCCCACACACGGAGAAGCACCTGCTCTTCAGCTCTTTTTTTTTTCCAGCCAGACAGTAGGGGCCGGGCTTCGAGGAGCCGTCCACACACAGTGGCTTGCAGCCTGTGTGCTGGAAGGCACACAGCAGAAGCAGTGTGCAGAGGGCTCTGCCTCTCACCTGAGCTGGTATCCCTAGCACACGGGTGTGGACAGGAGACCACCGGTGGGTCTCCGGGCCCGAAGGCTGCTCGGGGAACTGAGCGGACCCACACACCGCCTTGTTGGCCTTGTTGCGAGTTCCCAGCACTAGTCCCATTCCCAGCGGCTGATCAAAGAGGGCTCGTGAGGCCTCGTGACTACCCGGACCTCACGTGTAGATGGGCGTCCCTAAGGCTCGCAGCAGCCACTTGCTGGGGCCCCTGTTGTAATCCCCCCCCCCCCCCTCCCCGCCCCTCCCCCCCCCCCCCTTCATCCTGATGTTCATAGTGTACGGTTTTGAAGTGGCGTCCTGCATCACGGCGGCGACACAACGGGACTTCGTGAGTACAGCCCCTCGGTGGCACTGACACTGAAGCCACTCACCTGCCCGGAGCCCTTGCCGAGCCCTGGTCACGCTCACCGGCACACTTTTAACACACTTGCAGTTTTCCTTAGTGCCCTAGGCCGATGGCAAGAGTTGTGAGCCCAGGCAGCCGGACTCCCGATGCCCAAGCAGGGATCCTGGCAGGAATTCACACTGGTCCACACCGAGGTCTTTCTGCGTGTGTGAGAGGCCCAAGTCAGAGTGTCTCTCATTCTGTTTCTCGTGGTTTCCCTAACCTACACCATCTCGAAACGCCTCTCCACCCCGGCCGCACAGCGGTTTCTTCTTACACGGACACCCAAGGCAGCCCCAGTCCAAGGAGGGTGGCTCCCCAGTGGATGTACACACACACACACACACACACACACACACACACACGCACGCACGGCAGCAGGCTGACTCCCCAGGACGCTGACTCTCCCTCTCCTGTCCCCCTCCCACGCCTGCAGTTCACAACCAACCTCTTCCTGAAGCAGATGCTGGTGAGGTATCAAAACAACAGCCCGCCGACCAATGACGATGAGTGGAAGAACAACGGCGTGACCAGGACCTGGGATCGCCTCATGCTGCAGGTGCGGTGCGTGGCCCCCGAGTGCCCCACTGGCGCACGCCTGGACGGGTGTCCAGGCACGAGGGTGGGAGTGAGGGCAGACTTGTTCCGGGCCAGCTCAGCAGAGCGTCCTGTTCACTGGCGAGGGTGAGGATGGGGGGTGCCAAGGGCACGACTCGGTGAGGCCTGCGCGCCCATATTCTATGCCAAGCTACACTGCCGACTGGCCTGCCACAGAGGGCACACTTGGCGTTCCTAATACGTCCCGCTCTTGGGACTCGCTTAGGCTAACAGAAAACGTGCCTTCTCCCCCCACGGTGGGCTTGAAGGGTGACACACACACCCGTCTCTCCTTTCTATAGCTCCTGTGAAGAGTTCTCCTAAGGGTCGGGAGCTGTAGTGTGAGTTAGACACTCAGCTCTAAGCGGCCACCTCACTGTATATCCACACTTATACCCCAAGTGCCATCAGGACCCCAAGTCCTCCAGAGCACGAGTTGTCTTTCATGTATAACCTCTAATATGAGCCAGCTCTCCACTGGCCCCAACACACACACGCATTCACACACTCATACTCTTTCACACACACATATTTCTCTCACACACATACACACATTCACACACTGTATAGAGTCACACTCACACACATCACTCACACATACTCATATACACACACTCTCTCTCACACACACTCCCAAACTCTCACACACACTCTCTCATTCACTCCTTCACACACACACACACAAAGTCTCACACTCATTCACCCTCACACATACACTAACCCTCTCTCACACATACTCTCTGACACACACCAACTCTCACACTCACACACTCTCTTTCTCACACACACACACATACACACTCTCACACAAACTCACACTCACAGAAACTCACATAATCACAACACACTCACACACATACACTTACACACCCTCACACACATAGTCTTGCACACACTCTCTTTCTTATACACACACATATCCAACACACACACACACACACACACACACACACACACACACACACATACACACACCTTCCAGTCTGCTCTTTACACTCCTGCATCAACTTCCTAGTGCCCCGCCCCCCCCCTCCTCCTGCCCTCTTACCCTCAAGTGCCATAGGACTCGGAGACTGGCTAGGCTTCCTCCCTGCTCTGCCTGGCTTCTATACTGTCTCTTCCCTTGATCCCCTCCTTGTTCAAAACCTTGAGGGTCCTGCCATCGGGCTCTAGGGACTGCAGTGTCACCGTGGCCTGTGCCCTCGCCAGTCATGCCCCCATCACCCTGCCCCGATGAGGCTTCACAAGCCACACAGGGGCTGGGACAACATTGCTGCCTCCCTGCATCCCGCAGCCCTCCTCCTGCCCTCCAGCGGCCAGCTATCACCAACAGCTACGGCCCCGGCCCCGAGGCTCTCTGACGACCTTGGAGAATTTCTTTCCTCTGCCCTCATTTCCTCATTTATTCCAGTGGAACCCCTAATTAATCGCCCGTGCCTTCACTCCCTCACACCCTGCCATGCGCTCTCTTTACCCATCGCTCTCTGTAGGCTCCTTAACTGCTTGTGAATCTGTTTTCCTCAGTTTCCTCTCACAGTCCCCACCTACGTCCGCTTCCACCCAAAAGCTAAAATATTGCTGGGGAAAGTCCCCACCTGAAGCTGACTTAAATCTGTGACTGAAAAGCTCAGAAAAACTCTGTTTTCGGGTGTGCTCTCCAAGAACTCTGCTTTGTCACTGTTGCATAGATTTCTGTTCTTCCACCTCTTGCAAAATCCCTCCCCACCCTCGGCCTCAGTCACGGCTGCACCTCAGGCCTTGGGAATACAGAAGCAACCAAATGGGATCCATGTCTCCTCTCCACCAGCCAGTCTGTCCACATACATTTATCTACACCCCAAGGATGCCCCTCCCTCTTATCCTCCCAGTCCCTCCTCCTTCTCCTTCCCCCTTCCCCTCTTTCTTTCCCCCCAGAAAAAAAGAAGCCCTCTCCCCCTGTATCAACCCTCCCCAGCACATCAAGTCACATATGTGGCCGATGGGCGGCTTGGTCTTCATATGGGTCGCCTGGGGTGTGGAGGAGGTGGGCGGGAGACTGTTTCTAGCATGTGTCCTTTCTTTAATACAGTTCCTCATGGTGTGGTGACCAACAACCATGAAATTCTTTTTGTTGCTACTTCGTAACTGTAATTCGCAGCAGTTATGAATAGTAATTTAAATATCTGATATGCAGGATATCTGATGTGTGACCCCTGTGAAAGGGTCATTTGACATCCCCCCCCCAAAGGGTGACAACCCACAGGTTGAGAACCACTGCCCTACAGGCTTAACATTAACGTGGCCAGTAATGGCCGGTAACATCGTAAGCATAAAAACATTTTAGAAAGTTAGGAAAACCTTGAGCTCCCATGTGGAAATAGTTCAGGAATGTAAGACACGCTGTGCTTTGGAGCACCTTCTCCACAAAGCCTTGGCGGTGCCGTCGGCGGCTTGGCTGCGCCCCCCAGAGGTGACTTTGTGCCTCTCGCCCTCGGGCAGGAACACTGCTGTGGTGTAAATGGCCCGTCAGACTGGCAGAAGTACACCTCGGCCTTCCGGGTGGAGAATAGCGACGCCGACTTCCCCTGGCCCCGGCAGTGCTGCGTCATGAGCAAGCTTCAGGAGCCTCTCAACCTGGACGCTTGCAAACTCGGGGTGCCGGGCTACTACCATAACCAGGTGAGCCCTGTCCCCTCGGAGGACCGAGCAGGAAGAAAATAGCACCCGGCTGTGAGGGATGTCTGTACGGAATTCTGCACGCACCCTCTCAGCCTGGTGTTACCCACGTCCTCCTCTGGTAGTAAACCGGAGGGCTCATTCAGAACGGCTGCAAGTCTGTTTCTAGTAAAAATCACTGCCACGTGAGGATTCCCGTGGCACAAACCAACTCTGTGCCAACGGAGATGATCTGCGTAGTGTTTGGAATTGGTTTTTTTTACTAGAAATATTTGCATGAGACTAAAGGCTTGCAAAGGTGAGTTAGGAGGGGTGATACACAAAAAGAGTAGTATTCAGTTCCAAAACAGTGGTGACTGCAGAGGTCAGAGGTGATGGAGGGCACTGCCAAGCAGCGTCGGATTGGTGATTTGGGCTGAACATGATTTACATACATTTGGATTTGGTAAAAGCGCTCCTGAGCTGAGGAAGGTGATCCGACGATGCTCACGACACCTTTATTGAGGTCTTCCTGAGGGTCAGACGCTGTGTTGTATGCCATACACAGACTGTGTGTGCTCAAAAGTCGGTGTCCTGTCGTCTATGCATGAGGAATGGAGCAAGAGATGCTAACCGGGGCCTTGGCCAAGCTCACACAATTAGGAAATGGCTAATTGTGGCCCCAAGCCACAGCCGTGTAGTTCAAGAGCACAGACAACCCACCAACCAAGGCTTGGCAGTAGTCCCCCAAAGCCTTGGGAAGAGGCCACCTCCCACACTCCTGAGGCAGCATCTGCTGACGCGCCATGCTGAAATGTTCTGCCCTGCTTTGGGAGTGGTCGTGGTGAGGAGGCCTAGCAGGATGTCCATTTGTTAAATAACTGAGAAGCATCTGGTGTTTCCCTGCAGACCACGAGTCTGGCCACTACACCTGGCAGGGTGCCTGGACTTCAACTGCAGGCCTGACTTCCCAAAGGAGATGGCAGTGACACCCATGATTGTGTAGCCGTGGCCGAAACAAGCCTCGCTGAGCTTTAGAGCAACCCGGTTGGGGCATTGTTTTAGTCACCTATGTCCTGCTGTAGTCAAAATTAAATTTGCTGTTCGTACTCAGTATAATATACAACTGTCACTTGAACCACCCTTAACGTGTGTGTTCGGCATTTGCGTGTCCGACGTGGCTCATGCAGAGCAGTCTTTACTGAATTACAGCCATGTACAAACAGGGTCTTCTTTCTAAAAGGGACAAAAAGGATGTCCACCTTCTGATTATGGTATAACCTTGTGGTCCCCTACCATAACACTTAGAAATAACACAGGGAAATCAACTCAAACCACTTACTCAAGTTTAGACAGGTGAGTTTGATGAGGAAACACAAATTAACTTTTTCTCTTGACTGTCCTGGGACCTCCACGCCCATCTTGACTCCTTCCTTTCACCGAAGCTGCTGTCAGTGTCTCCATCTCTAGTACCAGCCAGCTGGACCACAAATCATAAGCCACCACCACTTAGCCACACTTTTCAGCCAAGTTCCTAGGTCCTGACGTTTCTTCCCCTGGATGCTGAGGGGACACGCTCTCATTCTGTAAATTATTATTAAGTGCCTATTTGAATCGGTACCATGCTTCTCCTAGAGATGAACTTCACCCTTAAGCAAAGCCCTGGAGGGCCAAAATGGTACAAGGAAAGACTCAGAAATGTTTGTATTTGTGATATACTTTTAGATAGATCCTAAAGGATTTGCTTAAATGTTGAATATTGGATAAAGAAATTAAGGAAAATTCCAGGAATTCTCATCTGTGTATCCTTCAATGTAAAAGATTAAACAGGGAATCAGTCAAAGTTTTGGGGTATGTGGGGAAGGGAAGCATATATGTATCTTACAAATGGAAGGATTATGGGAGACAGACCATTGAGTGCTTAACTGTAGCCACTGGGTGGAGCCTAAACCTCATGGTCAATCTCGATAGTTGTTGAAATTTGCTGGCAGATCAAGTACGCTTGCCTCCTTTGGACCTTTTGGTGCATGGAATCGACCTGGCTTCTGCATGTCCTGGGCATTCCCTGTGATCTCTAGAGTCACTCAGGTGGCAACTCTCATCTTCCGAGGTTGTCTGCTGCACTCTGGAGACCATTGATCCAACAGGCCTCTACTTTCCCGACCAGTTCCTATCTCTGCTTTGGACTCTGCACCTTAATGTAGCTCTGTCTTCCCAGGGCTGCTATGAGCTGATTTCTGGACCAATGGATAGGCATGCCTGGGGAGTTGCCTGGTTTGGCTTTGCCATCCTCTGCTGGACTGTGAGTATCCTCAGCGCATTTTATTTCAGGAAGGGACGATGCAGGGAGACCTTGAGAAGGTCTCTGGCTGTTTCAGCCACCCTAAAAAGTCTGGAAAACAAAGCTTGCAGCTAAGGTAGTCAGGAAGCGTCTAGCACCAGACCAAGAACAACGGGTTCACTTGAGGTGTGGGCTGTCAGCTCATTGCAACTAGATTTCAAGGCCTGATCTATCACCTCTCTAGGCTCCCGGGGCCCAACATCAGTCTGCCTAGCTCCTTCAAAGGTCTCGTCACTCCCAGCTACCTCTCTGTGAGGCACATATATTGAAGTCAGGGCTGTGATTCCCAGCCCTGGCTGGACACTCGAACATCCCAGACAAAGCAGAAACTGTATGCATCACTCAATGGTCCTTCCCTTGATTCTATAGCTGGGCCTGGGCACTTGGTTTTATTTTGCTTGTGTTTTTGTTTTGTTTTGGTAATTTTTCCAAATGATTCTAAATTTTTGTCACAACTTAGAACCATGACTTTAGGAGAAACAATCCCAAACTTTGATTTCAGTTACTCTCGAACACTTTGAAATATATTAAGGATTAAAAAAAAAAAAGGGCTATTTTTTTAATGTGGCCTGTGTCTATTGATATTTATTTCCGCCAAATATAATGACTGAAAAATGTTAAATATTTATTAATTTATTTTAAAATAAGATTATAAGCCAACTACAAGTTCATCTAAACAACATAATACTGGTAAGAAAATAGTAACTATTTTTACAAAATGAAAAATTCATGAAATAGTGTTGCTTTGCATGTTTTCGCAATCCTGTCTAAGTCTGGCTTAGAAAAAAAAAGTCCTTTTACTTAAATATTCCTGCCCACATTGGCCCCTGAAGGGTGTTTGTGTTTTATGCATTGAAAAGTGCTGAGTGAGAGGAAATAAGTGAAGAGAGAAAGCTGCATTTTATGATCGCTCTTAGGAGTTCATCTCTGTTGTGAAATGATGACCTGGTGGCATATTTGATGCTGTGAGAAGCGGGGGACCAGCTACTCTCTGTTCCCGGCACTAGCGTAACGAATAGTAAAGACTCAGTCATCTATTGAATCAATTTAAATGACAACAGGGAAGTGTCTATTTGTGCTGTGTTACCAGGAATTACAGGATGTTTAAAGGCTTTTGAGTATCATAGAGTTGCCAGCTAACAGTATACAAAATATCAGATTCTAAATTATAGAGATTGTAATCTCCTGAAATTCAGTAGGGGGGGATCAGAACTAAAGATACTGAGGGTCTGCTAAATAGACACCATTTCAGATAGTCTTCATATGAAACCTCCTCAACAGCGCTAGGTGGGTCTTGCCAACGAGGAACCGTACTTGAGAAGATCTCTGAGGCATACCAGTTACTGCTGCTCACGGAGAGCTTTTCTGTATGACTCAATATGGTACACTCTAAGTCCATTGGGTTCTATGACTTGGGTTAGTTACTTATCTTCCCTGTGCTTCTAGAGCTCTCCAGAGAGCTTTGAAGACAGGTGTGCCTGATACACTTGTCTTAATAAATATTAGTCCCAGCTGTTATTTCATTGTCCTGCCCACAGCTCTAGGTTTGAGGTAGAGAGAGATGATAGGAAATTTATTTTATTGATACAGACACTGGGACTCAGGAAGGTAAAATGGCGCAGCTAGGATCCCTGGGAATAGAAGGCAGATCTGAAACAGCCTGGACATTCCAACTCCACAAGAGAGTGAGTGGTCTTAGGGTCTGTGCTGGTCTGAGAGGCAGCCATTCAAAGGTGGCAAGCATTTTAGGATGTTAGGGAAGTCCCTTTCGAGGAAAGGCTTTAAGGTTAGAAGAAAACCCACAGCCAACCATTGGGCACAGCAAAGAAAACCTTGTGAAAGAGTGGGAGGAAGGATTGAAGGATCCGGAGGGGACAAAATCTCCACAAGAAGATCAATAGAGCCAACTAACCTGGGCCCAGAAGGGTTTGCGGAGACTGAGGCACCAGCTAAGGACCATGCATGAGCTGGACCTAGGGCCCCTACACATGCGTACCCAATGGGCAGCTTGGTCTTCATGTGGGTTCCCTAATAAGGGGAGTGGTGGGCAGGGGCTATCTCTGTCATGGACTCTGATGGATGCTTTTGGATCACTTCCCCCTGGCAGGGAGGCCTTGCCAGGTCACTGAGAAAGAGGATGTGCTTGGTCGTGATGCTGAGACTTCTGTGCTGGGGTGGGTTGGGGGGGGCTCCCCTTGTCAGAGGGATAGGGGAAGGAGGGAGGGTGGGACTGGGAGGACAACAGGAAGGGGCCATGATTGGGACGTAAATAAATAAATTTTAGAAGAAAAAAGGGACCCAAATAACTGGGAATCTAGCTCAGTTGGTGGAGTGCCTACCTAAGCATGCCCAAAACCCCACATGACATCCCAGCACTGAGTTGTGCGTGCCTAAAGTCCCAGAACTTGGAAGTTGGGAGCAGAGAGATCAAAAGCTCAAGGTTGTCCTCAGCTACATAGCAAGCTCAAGGCCAGCCAGGGCCCTGTAAGAGCCTCTCTCAAAAACAAACAAACAAACAAACAAACAAACAAATGAATAAAAATGTAAAAGATGAATGAGCCATGTGTTTTCTAACTACAAACAGGATCACATTGGAGAGAGCACTTAGCATTGACAAGAGAGAAGAATTTCCCCAAAGCTGTTTCAGTACGGAAATAGAGAAAGGCACTTGAGAAGTGAGAGGGACTAGGAAGGAAGAAGGGTAGGCACAGGGAGGAGGGGAAATTGCTCTGGGTCAGATGGTAAGCAATGCTCTGGATCAGCACGAGCGCAGCAGCCCTCTGGCCCCCAAAACTGCCGTCCCTAGATGACTACTAGAAATCCTGTGTCACCTGAGTCTAAAGAGGAGGAACGATATTCTGCTTTGTATTAAAGTAGATGTTTTTGAAATTCTGTTTTAGTTATTTTTTTTTTCTTTCTCACATGTTTATTCTAGTTTTGGGTTCTCCTGGGTACCATGTTCTACTGGAGCAGAATTGAATACTGAGCACACAAGTATCTCCGCCGTGACCTCCTTCCTCGGGTGACTCTGAATGTGGTGCTGGAACCTGCTGCTCCGTCACATGCCCTCTGTGTGCTCCTCGGCGCCGTGTGCCCTCATCTCACCCAAACGGCAGTTCAGGTGGAGCGAGCTTCTCTTAGGCTCTTGGGCTGCTGCAATCCTCAGCAGAAACATTTCTTATCCTTGCCTAAAATTATGCATTCTAAGACAGAAAGTATACTATATATGTACTATGTAGACTTATATGGACTCTATATGGTATAGTACTTACTTGTGCTATAAAGTATAAAGATAAGACAGAACATTTGGAGAGTGGGGATGAATCTCATTCCTGTTAATGTTTAATGTGGGGACACAATGGCATTCAAGGGAACCTTCTTCCCCATAGCAAACTTTGTCTGTATTTAATAGCAAATTCAAGAAACAAAGAGCCCGTCTCCCTCATCATTTTCTTCAACCTTGCAAGGCTTTTGTCTGTCTCTATGTAGGCTGGGTGGTGGGACGAGGGAGAGATTACAGAGCTGTACCTTCAGCCTCTGCTTCTGCGGTGGCTTCTGTCTGTACTGGAGGTGTTCCAGACACACCACCCTTGGATACTTTTATTCTCCGGAGCAACCCTTGATTTTTCATTTAACAAGAGTTCAGACTTCCTCTTGTGCGCTGTGGAGTGGCGTGCACTCAGCAATTTGATTCTCTGTTAATTGAAAGTTATATCAACTTTAGGGACATTGATGCTGCCCATTTTACATCATCTCTGTCTTTGCCCTCAAAGGTTTCAACTTGAAACACTTTTCCAACAGTGAGATCCAAGCCAGCTGATCACACAGGCGATTTATAGGGACTGATGTTTGCTCTCAAAGTAGTTTGCTTCCATCTATGATCCTGAAGGAAGTCCTGACAACTCACCATTTGCTTATACATAAAGAAGCCCATAAAATATGCTCATTTTCTTTGATTTCAACTGGTCCTGCTAAGTCTAAGAAAATGAAGTTTCCAACAGAAGCAAAAACTGTGGGGGTTAAAATGGAGGAAGTGGGAGACACACACCAGTGGGATCCTGCTGGCTGGTGGACTACACAGATGGACAGGGAATGGCTGGTGTTCTGTTTCCTTTTGCTTTTTCCTCCCACTACATTGACCTTTGGAGTTATTGATCTTCTGTACTTGAAGCCAATGTAGCTAACGTCAACAGTCCAGTTGTGTTCCTTATTCTGAAAACACACCCATAACTTAGGAACAGTCAACCCAGGCCTGGAAGTCTTGCCTCACCTTGACCCTTTAATTAGGCAGAGCCCTGGGGCAGAGGAGGGTGCAGAGAGGAGAGGTAGACTCCCTTGCAGCAGAAGTCCGGTCTCTGACCTCCAGTGTAGCTTGCCTCCAACCCTCTACCTCATTTTGTCTCTTCTGAAGAAGACATCTTGGGTAACAGGATGAATAACACCTGCAGCTGATGCAGAAGACCTTCTGTGGTTCTTTAAAGGGGGAAGGAAATGGATTAAACTTGCCTGTCTGATACCTTTAGTATGTATTAAATAGTGTTGAAAGTTGAACCCAGAGCTTCATGCCTGCTAGGAAAGCCCTCTACCCACTGAGCTATATCCCTATCTCCTGCTGCATTTTGCTTTCCACCATTAGCTAGGTTTTCCAATGGGCTCCCCTGGCTGAGTGGTTCCTTCTCAACCCTCCTCCTGCCTTCCCACCAGAGCTTTATGCTCTAAAACACTCTCTGCTACTGACTACCACAAAAACCCCATCTCTTAGTGACTAGCTCTCAGCCTCAAAAGCACGGTATAGAAAGTTCCAGCCCCTTAACCAAAAGGAACAGACTTTGTTCCTCTACAAACCAATGAAGGAGAGTGACCCCAGCCACCCCAGTGGCCAAGGGCAATGCCTAAGAGGGTCGAGCCTTGGTCTCGCCCTGCAGAGTTCTGCCATTCACAGGCCTAACCCGGGATTCCTATGACTATCCTTTTTAGGTCATCCAGAAATTTCTTCATTGCTGCTTCCCACCTCTATCCCTGCCCTTTTCCCTGAAGCCCCAGGATTCTTTCTTCGAGAAAACTCTTCAGCCTTCCTGAAAAAACTGGAAATGGCGTGGCAAGCCTCAGATACTAGGCCCCAGCTCAACAGTGCCCGGTTGAGCCCTCCCAAAAATGAGAAAGGGGAGCAGAGGGCTTGGATCTTGGGAGCAGGAGGCTGCTCTGTTTAAAAGCGACACAGACATGCAATCTGTGAAACCCCCCCCCTTTTTTTTCTCTCAGCAATTATCATTACCAATTACCTCCAAACTGCCTATCAATCAGGCTAACTTTGGAACAAGATTTATTGACATAGAAATGTCAATAACATAGAAATGTCATCCTGTCTCTGGTTGGCCTTATCCTTCCCAATATTAACCCTAATCCCAAATTCTAATCCTAACCTAACCCTAACCCTCTAACCATAAGCCTAAGCCTAAGCCTAAACCTAAGCCTACCCATCTACCTATGTAATATATAAACTTGAAAAACTGATATCCTCCATCTAGCCCTGCCCCTACTGGTCTTATTGACAAGCAGTGCTGAGAGTGGAGGGGGTTCGAAACTAACCATTATCCTGGCTTCTTGCTATAAAGGATTGCTTTCCATCTGAATCTCCTTTTTCTGGTCTCTTTCCTCATCTCACCTCACTCAGCTTCTTATCAGCTCTTATGAGACAGGCTACAGAGCTGGCAGCAACAACCAGACAGGTAGCTGAGAATGGTTTCCTGCCCATTTATCTGAAGACTCAAGAGGTCGAATCCAACAAGGACAGTCAGAAAGGTCTTTGAGAGAGGCAGCACTGTCAACACAAGGGAGATGCTCTCTCACAGGCTTCCTCCAACCCACAGTCCCTATGCTGGGCACAGTCAGGTACACACACACACACACACACACACACACGCACACACACACACACTCCCCCCCTTTTTTTAAAGAGAGAGAAATTGATACATAATAAGCATTCAGTTACATTCTACCCTTCATTGATTTTTCTAAGCTCCCAAACTACACACTTAGACATATGCATACTCAGGGGTCAATATTTATTTGAATGCTCAGTTGTCGGTGGGCCTTTTTGTCTATTCAGGAGGTGGGACCTCTGAGCCACTCCCATGAGTTTACCTTGGAGACCTGTCTGACTCTCTCAGCAGACATGAAAGTTCCCTATACTACAAACAAACTACTACAAAGTTCCCTATCCTGGCAAATGGGAACTTGAGACTTAACAGTTTCCATCTTAGAGCAAATTTCCATGGCTCTTGGAAGAGGCTGTGCTTCTATAGGACCTGGGAAAGCGGAAATTTCGAATCTAGAGAAAGTCTTTCATCTTCTTCAGAAGTCCATTCACAGGAAATGTGGGCACTTCCAAGAAATATACCCAAGTGGGGTACAGGAAGGAGTGTGTGTAGGGGTTAAGAGCTGAATCACCAGGGGTGGAGATCAGCTAACACTTGAAAGTCATTTTTAGGATAGAGAAGATACCAAATCTCTGTAGGCATCCACAGGGATATAGATTCAGGGAAACTACCCCAACAAAGATTATATGGAATGGCAGTCTGGAAGTCAGAAGACATGAGTTTGGACTTGATGCTACTGTTGTCCTACTGTGAGATTTCTCGAGATGAGCCCTGAGGTGTGGGTCTTCACCCCCTAACCCCACAAAGCTCTCAACTCTCAAGAGATTCCATAAAAACATTACAACCTGTAAGCACCATAAAAATGAGTGCCAGCCCAAGTGATTTAAAAAGCAATTAAAAGCCATGTAACAGGTTTTCCCTGTGACCACAGGGAACTGCAGTGTCCAAACACCCAGCACTCATATAGATCTTGGCAAACGTGGCACAGTGGGCATCTCTACCATTACCGTTCAAAATGTGTGGTGTTATGGGACAGTCAGGACTGTGACTGAATACACAGGCAGGAACTGGGGACTGGGCTCCTTTGAAACCAGCTGGAGATGGGTAAATGACAGCAGTTAGCAAGTAGGCACCACAGGATTCTGGCCTTTCACTAGACCTTGAACCGCCTGCACTATCAAATGGCACAAGGATGGCATGAAGGTCCCAAAATATTATCTTGCACCTCACAAAATTTATTAAGAAGTCATTGAGATGACTTGTACAATTTACTAGCTGAAAGAATTAGCTGAAGAGAAGTCAAAAGGGCTATGTCAACGGTTCTCAGCATTTTGTTAACGACGCCTAAGACCAACAACAAAACACAGGAAGTTTCTATCTGGCATTAGCGATATTCTGCTTCCATTGAGAAACCAAGGCTCCCAAAGAAGCTGGGTAACAAGGAGGGCCCAAGGGGATGGGATCATGTGAATCTCACTGAGAAGAGGAAATAGAATAAACGATGAGAGTGGACTGGCTGGGCGTGGGAGGTATAAAAACAGGAGAGATTTGATCTGGGTAGGACGGAGGAAGAGAGCATTGGGAGAAACAACTGGAATCAGGGCCTTCTCCAGAATGGGCTAGAAACTTAGGGCAATGGAAACTCCTAGGAACCAATAAAGATGATCCTAGCTAGGGCTCCTAGCAATGCGGACTAAGGAGCCTGAACTGGCCATCTTCTGAAACCAGGCAAGACTTCCAATGAAGGGACTGGGACACCAACCTAGCCACAAAACCATCAGCCTATAATTTATCTTGCTTACAAAGTATGCTGGTATAGAGGTGGAGCAGAAATCATGAAGGTGGCTGACCAATGACTGGTCCAGCTTGTTCCCTCTCCATGGCAGGAGAGGGAACCCACCCCTGACACTGCCTGGAGGGCCAGGATCCAGAAGCTGAATAACCCAGAGACCCACAATAGAACCAAACACAAATGGGGGGGGGGGGAGTCAATGCAATGATTCCTATGAAATTCTGCAATACTCATAGACTGGCATCTATCCCAATTGTCATCAAAGAGGCTTCACCCAGTAACTGATAGAAACAGATGCAGAGACCCACAGCCAAATATTAGGCAGAGTTTGGGGAATCCTGTGGAACAGGGGGAGGAAAGATTATAGGAGCCAGAGGGGTCAAGGACACCACAAGAAAACTTGGACCCACGGGAAACCCACAGAGACTGAACCACCAACCAGGGAGCCTGCACAGGACTGACCTAAGCCCTCTGCACATGTTAAAGTTGTGTGGTGTGGTGTTCTTTTGAGACTCCAAACAGTGGGGGCAGGGACTGTCTCTGACTCTGTTGCCTGCCTTTGGGACCCTTTCCCCTAACTGGACTGTGTTGTCTAGCCTTAATAAAAAGACCTGCCCAGTCTTACTGCAGCTCGCTATGCCATGGCTGGTTGATATCCATCAAGGCCAGCCCTTTTCTGAAGAGAAAAGGAGGAGTGGATGTGGGGAGGGAGGCTGAGGGGCTAGAAAGAGAGGGGAAACTTCAGTCCAGATGTAAAATAAATAAAAATTTTTAAAGTATAAAAATGTCAGTGAGTAGAGCAGACAGACCTCAGCTTCAGCGTGATTGTTATATGCTGGGCTCCAGGGTGATAGCATGTGGGGCGAGCTAGGTTTCACAGAGAAGATTCAAGCAAACTTTACTGGCTTTCTAAAACTTTCCAAAGAAAATGTGATGTGTTCAGTAAATCTGGGAGGGAGGTGAGTGATACTTGTTGGATTAATTCTGTATATTTTCAAATTTATTTAAACAATTAAAAAGTTAAGCTTTTGAAAAAGAAAGAAAGAAAAGAAAGTCTCAAATCCTATAACACAGCGTTCTTTTCTGTTGCCCTCCCCAACCACTTTCAGAGACCCTCTGCCTCCGGCCTTCAGATTCTCATCATCAAAGGAAATGACATGAAGCACCAAAGGTTCTGAGTAAAGAAGGGAAGTGGGGGAGGCCTTTTCATTAACATATGACATTACCAAATCTCCCAGGAACAAAATGTCCTTTATAAGGTTTAGCAAGAAAATAAGAAAAGCCTGAGTATGGTTTTGTTAAATGAGAAAAATTCACCATTTACTTCATCTACTGAGTTATTGATAAACCAGACTAGCTCTGAGCAAACCTGCCAAGCCTATAAAAATGTCCTTTCAAATTCTCCTTCCTTGTTGGGTGGTGTTCACTCCAAATCCTCCTGCTCTTTGGTCAGGATTAGATATAATTTACACTTACCAACTGAGTCTAGTGTCGATGGAGTCACATAAAGACGGATTGAGAGGCCTTGGGGCACAGCCACACAACTTTTAAGAACATCTGAGTTAGTTATGGGTCCATCCATTCACCCCAGCAAATGAACTATTCCCACCATTCTTCTGACTCAGTAACAGAATAGCTTCCACTGCCTTCCTTCTCTTTCCCCACTACCTTTGCCCTGCTCCCCAGGAAGCTCAGCAGTACTCGGGCCTCCTCTCTCTAATCTCTCCAGCTACCCTGTAAGTACCACACCCCAACATTATTATAACAAGTGGTAACAACACTTATAACAAGTGATAAGCCCTGCCCCCCTAAACCTACACCCTGCCTCTGTAAGCGCCCTTTCCCTTCGAAGGCCACCTGCACAGTGCGTGAGTGCTAACCAGCCAGGTGTACTCCCAAAGCCCCATGCTTCCCACTTCTGACTGGGGGAGGGGACACGGAGGAACGAAAAGATTAAGAACTCCGAGAGGCCAGGGAATAGGCCTGGGACAGTTGGCTGTACATGGATGGTATAGACACTAACAGAGGAGCGTGCCAGAAGAAAGAGAATGGGGTGCTATGCCTAATTAGTTCTACTTGTAGAAAGATTTCTTTTTATTATTGTGTGTATGGGTGTACACATGTGTGTCCAGGAGCCACAGAGGCCAGACGCATAGGATCTCCTGAAGCTGGCACTCGTAAGCTACCCCTGGAGGGTACCCTTGAGGGGGTAGCTTACGAATCCAAGTCCTCTGCAAGAGCAGTACATGCCCTTAACTTCTGGCACATCTCTCCAGTGCACTGTTCTGCTTTGAAGATGTTTAAGATTGTCGGCACAGAAAGGAATAAACCGTTGGCCCAAATTAACAGTTAAAAAAAAAAAAAAAAAAAAGACCAAGAACCGGAAGATTTTTCATATTTTACTACAGAGATACTCTATAGATGTATTATCAGTTTATGTAGCTTATAAACTGCTCATTCATAGCCTACATGTACAAAATTATTTTATAAAAATGCTTTAAAAACTAGTCGAGGGTGTGTTCTCTGGTGGGCTATTACTGGCAAGTGCCTCTGAGGAGGCAGGGTACATTCAGGGTCAGGTGGCCAGAGACCAGAAGGTGTTTCTGATGAGAAAGCAGCCACCATGGAGGTTGGGTAGCAGCAGCCGGCACAGGCACCACTGACAGTTCACGCCACACTCTGTCCTTAGCCACCTCTTCATTGTCAAGTTCGTGGCATCTGATTCTTGACTCTGTGCCCCTCTCTTATGGCTTTCTTCACATCTGGAATCCACCACTTCACAGTGGGTCATGAGTAACAGAAACACATCTTAGTACCTCTCTGTCTTAGACCTGGCAATTCTGGTTCTCTAAGACACTTGGGAATTCTACTCCCCATTCTTCAATCTCACACTGCATTGCTGAAGTCAGTCCTCTGAGGACACAGTTCTCAGGTTGCCTTCATCGCATCCTTTTTCTTTAGTGGTCCTTCAAGTGTGTGAATTACAACTTCACCACCACGACCAAAACAGCTAAGAAAGCTGTCTTGTCAATGATGGTTCTACATTCTACATAACCAAGAGCTCTTCTGAGAAAACATGGAACGGAAAAATTTCAGCCTAATAATTAGCTGGAAAGAGTTCTTAATGTTGGCTACTAAGGAAGTCTCTAGGCCAAAATCATTACAATCAAATCATCAGTTCTCCAGAACATCACCAAAAGATCCAGGTCATGCACCAGTCCAGAAATCCACTGTGATGTTGGCATAGAGGGGATTGTGTTCCACAGAGAGCAATTTGTAGGAACAACTTGATAAGCCGTCTGTTTTCCAGACTCGTGACATCTGCTGTAACAGCTTCATCCTAAAGATAAAAGGAGCAAATGAGAAGGATGAAAATGAGAGCCTGACATGCATCCCCGCTGCTTTTTGTCCTGCTCTCAAGTGTCGCACAGGAAGCTTTATCATTTACTATTCCTGTTGGATTTCCTATTACCAAAACCAAACAAACAGACAAACAAAAAACAACTTGTTTTCCTTACGGAACAAGCATTCATGATAGTCTTTTGCATTTGTGGCTCAAACCCTACATCAGGCCCTGGACCAAGAGTGGAAGATCACTGGCTCCATTGGGTTCCCATCACAGCACACAGGGATTACAAGAAACACTGACATAAAAGGAGTGTGAGCTGCCCACTCAGAACGGGTCCTTTGCTGAGCATCAGGGGATTGAGAACCATTCCACTGTTGTGAGAAGAAAGTTGTCTATAGACAGGAAGGTACATAGCTCTCATAAGAGTTTCAAAATTGTGTGTGTGTGCGCACATGCGTGTGCAGGAGGATAGATAAATTAAGAAGCACCTTACTTCATGAAAGAGTCTAGGGAGGGACACCAAGTAGCTTAAGAGACGTGAAATTCACAAAGTGAAGAAGGAAGGAAAGGATGCTCTAAGCAAGGACTATGTGGGCAAGGGGCACAGGTAGACGAGAGAACAGGATGCACTTGAGGAAGGATGGGCCACCTCTGTGGCCAGAGCTGAGCAACAGAGGGGAGAGAAAAGGGCACTGGAGTGAAGAGGACTCCAGAAGCTCAGCTGTGACAATGACAACAATGGGTGGAGATCAGAAGCACCATGTTGAGCTAAATAATGTCAAAGGAGAAAAAGTACAGCATGACTTCACTTACACACAAGCTGGAAATGTGCAAAACTGATTCCTGTTTTGTTTAGGAATATAAACATATGGGGGGAAAAAAGAAAACCAAGAAATAGCCTAAGGAATTAGCTTTATGACATGACAAGCAATTACCATGAAGTTTAGGGATGTCACGTAGGGCAGGGGTGGGTGTGAAAAGGCAGGTACAAGTCTAGGGAGCCACGTGGACATACCTACAGGGTCTGTCTGGGTATGCGTCATGCTTTTCATATATAGATAAGAATTATTTTATAACTATTAAATAATTAACCAACAGGAAAATGCACTTCTGTTGATAAAGACTAGAATGACACAGAAAAGTCTATTCTTTCAGACTTGTAGCCTCTAACAAAAAGCAAAAAAATTCTTGACTACTGCTTTTCAAAGGGAAAGAAACTCAGAACAAAAACCATAAATTCTTCCATCAGAACCACATACACATAAGTTTATCTGCTGGAGTTCCACAGTGAAAGGGCTAGAGCTGGGCAGGAGAGGAGAGGACAAGGCTGGGACATCAGCTTCCCTCAGAGCACAGAGCAGGAAGCTCCCAAAGACTGCCGTGACAACATCTTCGGGACCTTAGAGCCAACTTTAAAAGCTCCAGATGATCAAAGTCGAGATCACATTGTTTTTGTTATTTTTTTTTCAATTTATTCATTTTATATTCTGATTGAAACCCCTTCCCTCATCTTCTATTCCCACCCTCACTCCTTTTCCCCCCAATCCTCTTTCCCTAGTCCAATGAAAGGGGGAGTCCTCCTCACCTGACCCTAGCTTATCAAGTCTCATCAGGACTGCCTGGATCCTCTTCCTCTGTGGCCTGGCAAGGCCACATCACCAAGGGGAGGTGATCAAAGAGCAGGCAAATGAGTTCATATCAGAAACAGCCCCTGTTCCCCTTACTCGGGCACCCACATGGAGACTGAGCTGCCCTATTGGTGACATCTAAGAAGAAGGTCTAGGTCCTCTCCATGCATGGTCCTTGGTTGGTACATCAGTTGAGACCACATTCTTATCAAAACAAACGTGAACTACAAACCAAAAGATGCTCAGGGAGAGCAGGTTGTTATTCTAAAAAACGATCCACCAGCGCTTGGCTCTCACACTTCGGTCTGCCTTTCCTATAGGAACTATACCCCAAGGTGCTCAGACAGATGAAGAGAGAACATCTCTTTTTGTAAAGAGACTCAATAAATGAAGATGGAATGATGGAATCGGGGTATTACAGCCTTGCAACCCTTCTTTAGGCAATGAGAAACAGGTGCTCATATATATTATAATTATCAAATCAACAGAGGCCAATTAGCAAAAATCCATTAAAAGCGTGATTCTGTGACCTCATGTGTTCAACAAACAAACTATAAGGAAAAAGATAAGAAAGAGAAAGGGTACAGCATGGTGGCTCACACCTGTACTCCCAGCACTCAGAAGGTGAGGCAGTAGGACACTGAGGCTAAAGTCAACTACTTAGATAGTAAAACAGATGCTATGGTAAAGAATCCAGTGGGCAAGCTGGACGCGGTGGCACACGCCGTTAATCCTGGCACTCAGGGAGGCAGAGGCAGTCAGATCTCTGTGAGTTCAAGGGCAGCCTGGTCTACAAAGCAAGGCCAGGACAGCCAAAGCTACACAGAGAAACCCTGTCTCAAAAAAAGCAAAACAAAACAAAACGAACAAACAAAAGAATCCAGTGGGCAGAAGAAAAAGTGGGAGAAAGCAGAAGAGAAGCCAGGAGTTTACAATCACAGAAATAAGGGGTGTATGTATTAGTCTGCCTTGCTTTAGGTTCTACATTAAAAGCTCCTTCATAAAAAGCTTTTAGCAAAGTGAACGGGCTCATGTGGTCAGTTCAGCAATGGTATGTTAGCCTCACAGGAGAGTCAATACCCAGATGGATGCCAGGTATGGGAATCCAGGGCTTACCGGTCCACGTTCACCTCGTTGCCTTTGTCTCTGGTGTGGAAGATCATGGTGTATTTACCCACATCGGGCTTGGGCCTCGATATTTTCATCTTATGGAGCTCAACCCTAGGGGGGAAGAAATGAAGTTTATTTTAAAATCTATCCCATTTACCTACCATTGAGTACTCAGAAAGAACCATCTGCAACAAAAAAGAAAATCACACACACACACACACAATATTAAAAAAAATTTAAACGTTTTTGTAATTTACACCCTTTAAGCAATCTATCTTAGAAATCCACAGGTTCAAGTCTGTATACATGTGTGCGCATGTACGAGCCATGTAAGACAATGAAACATAATTTCCCCTGGAGAAGCCCACATCTACCTGTGGGTGTATCTTATTCTTTACCCCACAAAAAAATCCTCTGTTTCTGTGAATGGTTGCACTCATTGTAGATTTTAAAAATGCCTTTAAATAAATTCCAGTTCTGCTTCCTACTGGCTTGTCCTGAAGTTCTTTCAGAGATCTCTGAGAAGAACTCTTGAGGCTGCTGAAGGCGCCGCTCCCACCACTGCTGACACTTATCAAATGAAAGCAAAACTTTGGGTTCCTCTCTCCCTTGAAGCTGAGGGACAGCTGGAAAGGAGACAGCAATGGTATGCAACCATAGCAACTGTCTACTCTTTAGCCTAGCTAGGTAGTGCCATGGACTTGGGGGAGAAGAGAGTGCTGGCTCCCTCTAGCTCTCCCTGTCCCTGAATCTGTGTGATCAGCAGCCTGAGTGACTGTGGATTGTGACTGCTGAAGCGGTGAGTGCCATGGAGCCCTTGGGCAGGAGTATCTCCCTCTTTCAGAAACATTGCCAAAGGCTCTGTGCCCAAAGGGAACAAGACGGACCATCCTGAGGCCTTCAGCTCCTTTACACCAGCCTAGTGGGAGACTGACAGTAACACAACTATTAACTCAGAACTCCAGCCTAGTACCTACTTTCTAAGAAGCAGCAGGAAGAGGAAAAAGTGCCTCTGACTGCCAGGAGGCCTTTGTTATCACAACTCTGACCTACAGGCCATGTTTGAACCATCTTTACCACCAAGACACACACACACACACACACACACACACACACACACACACACATACACACACACACGCACACGTTCTGAAGAGGGACGTAAAAGTGGAGGCTAGGCATCCTGAGAAGTTCCTCTCAGTTCTCCAGAGCAGAAAGCTGTCTGAGGGAATCCAGGAGTAATACCAGCAGCCCAGAGCGAGCCCTCCAAGTCAGAAAGCTCCCACAAAAAGGTGCACACAGCCCCCCTTGAGGACACAGCACTCCGCTCTACATGCTGGGAACAGCAACAGAGGCCCCAGGGGTCTGAGGAAAAGCATGAGACGTTTCAAAGGCCTGTCCTCAGAGTGAAAGTCTCAAAGACAACCTCTGGGACTTCCCGTTCACCGGTTGTACCCAAGGGCCCCACCAACACTTCTGAACCCCAAACTCGGCAACGACGATCCTCTCTGGTTTCTACGCTTCCCCTGACGAAGAACAATTTAGGTCATTCTGCCCTCCCCTCAAACCCTGCCACCCTGTAAGCCCAACTCGTCAGCCTTATGACCAGCCAGCCTGGCCCTTACAGGAACTACACATAAGCACAGGGTTCCGGGGTCACCACTGAAAGCAGAGCCCCTTCTCTGTTGATCACCTGAGTCTGAGGTCATCGTCTTCTCCTCCCCAGCCCCAGTAGTTGTTAGAGAATCCATTCACCTTGAAAAACTGTTCTCTGCTGAGGGCAGTAACGCCCCCAAAATATTTACTGTATCGTAACCTGGAGCAAAAAGAGAAGAGAGAGAGGTGATGATGTTTAGCACAAAGCCCCCTTTGTGCTCCGAGGACATTCTAGCTAGCTCTGGTTTCGGGGGGTGGCATTCCAGGACACGGGAGACGGTACACTTCCGTCCATTTTATCCATTTACTCTTGTCTCATGGCCGCCTCCCTCTACTCCCTCGACTCCTGGCCTTTGATCTGCTGCTGACACCACTAAAAAAGGTGAACCCACTAGGCAAGGTGACCCCACATATCTGTTATTGGTAACCTTGGTATTCTGTAAAGATACCTGAGCATGGATTACTGCTTCAAATGTCAGTCAGAGATTTCATCCCATGGAAAGGCTACTAAGGGCCCCAGGCAAGGGAGGATTCTGGGTTGTAACCATGTTCAGCATGAATGAGTGTCACGAGGAATATACTTTTTCCCCCTAGCTTTTTCTCTCTTGGGGGGTGAAGAGGTGTAAATCAGGAGGCATTTCCCATTCATACTTTGGGTGTGCTCACTCTGCAAATCTCCATCTCTGAGTTCGTTTTCTACAGAACTCAACACTGCACCCCACTATCCTGGCTTGGGCAACTATATGAAATACAGTGACCTTCACGAAAACTGACTGTGAAGAAAATAATATGGTTTTGAGGGCAAGAGTCAATTATTCTTAGATAGGCTAAATATGAGGCATTCCTAAGCAAAGGACGCAGTGTCCAAGCTCACAAGACACCTCTGGCTACAGATAATGCTGCGGCAGCTGTGAGCACTTGAGGGTGTCAGAGTAGGAGACATCACTGGACAACAGCAGAACGAGCAAGAGTTGAGCATCTGAGGAACCACTGCTCAGACTGACATGAAAGAGAGGAAAATAGAGAGTACCTTCCGGAAAGGTTTCTTCTGCATTCTAGTGACCTGTCCACAAGCTGAGATAAGGCTAACCCTTAACATAGCTCTGGCGCCCTTTGGACTGCAGGTGGAGAGGGCTACCCAACAGAACCACGTGAGCACACAGAGAGGATTTCTAACTTTAACTGACTTCAGTTTTAAATGTCTAGGTCAACTAAATACTGACATTTTCTAACCAGAAGAAGAAAGAGAGAGAGAGAGAGAGAAAGAGAGAGAGAGAGAAAGGAAAGAAAGAAAGAAGGGAGGGAAGGAGGGAGGGAGGGAAGGAAGACAGACTCAGTACACTGTAGACATTTTCCACCTAACAAGTGGCATCTCCAAAGCTACTCTGAGGTTGAGTAGCTTCTATACTCCTAGTACAAACTAGTGACTGTTGCCAGGTAGGCACCCCCTCCCCAGGCTGCTTAGCAACCTGATGTCATCACCTGCAGGAAGCCAGATCAAAAGGGGTGAGCCTGCCACCTCACTCTCTGCTGTCTGTCCCTGAGTCTCCATCTGTCTCCCTCCCCACTCTGTATTCTCTTTTCTCTTATGCTCCTGCACACTGTCTGTCTCTGTCTCGCCTTTCCCATAATAAACTTCTTTGTAGCACACCTGTGGTGCGGCGTGTAATATTTATATCATAACACTGACCCTATGTGTGCCATACTAGAACCATTCAGTTATGTTAATCAGGTTATACTCATGACAAATATCTGAAAGAAACAATTTTGAAGGAGGAAAATTGTATCTTGGCTTAGAGTTTCAATCCATAGCCAGCTGGCTCTATTGCTTTCTGGCCTGTGGCAAGTGAGAATTTCATGGTGGAAAAGATATGGTCACTAGAGAAAGCTACTTACTTCATGACTGCTAAGATACAAAGATGAGGAAGGGGAACAGGACAAGATACAGCCCCCAAGAACACACTTCTAGTGACCTACTTCCTCCAAGTAAACCCCATCTCTGAAAACATCCACCCCTTCCCATTAACACCATCACATTACAAACCCATCATTCAGTCACTGGTTTGGTCAGAACCTTCATGACCTGTCTGTGGAGATGCCCTCCCATGCAGCCCTGAGGTATTCCTGACTGACCTCATGGGCACTCTTAGTCTAATAATGAGCAAGACTGACCATCACAATTATCTGCGTGCACCTAAAATCCTGGGGAGTGGCATTTATCAGCCTAAAACCAACAAAAGGAAATTAAAATATTTAGAACACAGCTGTTCCTACCATTTCCTAGCAGTGACCTGTGTCCAAGGCTACCAGAGTCTAGTAAATAAGGAAGGGACGCTTAACTACCGAAGAAGCAGCTACATCAGGGCCCTGTGGAAAGAAACAGCAGCCACATATAACCTTCCAGGCACCAAAGAGCAGTCCTCATGAGAGACCCAGCATGCATGCTCTGGAGGGGACTGCCAATACCACCGCCCCCGATGCTCCACACAGCTGGCTGAGCACAGGACTACAAGGGGCCTTCCCTCCTAGAGCTCTGAAGCGAACAACCACAGAGTTCTTAGGACAGAGTCACTGCCAGACACAGTAAGGGGAGCACAGCCTGGGAGGACCCAATCTGCAGATGAGGGAGGATCTGCGGGTGAGAACTTGGTACGGAGGAGCACAGGGTAAGGAGCACTGGGAGAAGCTTTGTTGCCGGGAGGAGCAGTAGATGACTCCAGGGAGACCTACAGAACTGCTCTCACCATCGCTGCCCAGCAAATGTCTCTGTGTTTATTGACTTTCTCTTTCAGTCCCTGTTTTCTGGAAAAGCACATTTTAAGTGGCCCTCGGGCGAGTTTATGTATACATAAAATATGTATATTTTAAAGGGCTGCAAGGTCCCCAGAATGAGGAAAATGTAGACATACAGTTGCAATGGAGTCCTTGGAGAAACGGGGCCTGCACAGAGGGATTCTTGGCAGTGAAACTCACCATGAGTCTGAAACACTTGGGCAAGTTGCTTAAACTTCCTCCCACTGAATGCATGGCAAGTAAAAGCATTTCCCTTTTGTTTGTTCCTTTTGTGTTTACAGTCCAGGCCATTTATTCCTTTTTTTGCACATTAAGCCATGATGGATTCATACAGAATGGGCTCCAGCAGCTCAGGCTCCTTCCGGTCAATCCTCCCAAAGTGCCCAGAGGTGCTCAGCTCTGAGGGGAGCAGGTCGGCGCTTCAGCTAAACCCAGGCACCTTCAGGAAGCTGTCCTGGCTCTGACAGTGCTTGACGTGTTCAGTCCACACATTAAATCTCTTGGCAAGAATGTTGCCCTTGACTTACTTTTTTTACAGTGATGCCCACAGCATGCTGGGTAATGCTACAGACCCTTCGGTTTTGCATGGGAACACTTACGGGGCATTCCTTTTTGAACAGTGCTCATCCCCTTGATGTGTGCAACGTCACCCTTCCTGTAGCTTCACATGCATGTGGCAAAAGGAACGAGTCCATATCTCCTAAAAGGCCCAGAGAACATCCAGCCAGCATCCTCCCTCTTCCTCTTTGTGATTGTGGGTGAAAACAGTTCTTATATGCACACCCACAGGGCTGTTGCAAGGGTGAAGCAGCTGAAGCGCATTGGTGTTTCATGACACGAAGATATGGAGCTGCCAGCAGAAGGCTCTAAGTCCCTGCAACTGAAATTGCCAGCCATCGACAGAACATTGCCCGGGACAGCAAAAGTAAGAAGACAGAAGGCCTGTATCTCCCCGGCCACACACACACACACACACACACACACACACACACATTCACAAAAGAGATGTGCATGATGCAGATAGTAAGACAGAAAATTTAAATAAAGCATCAGGACCGAAGTAAAAATCTAAGTCTGAAGAGATTGAAAAGACAGGACAAGAACAACTCAGTGGTAGAGAATTTGCATATTGTAAGGGCTTCCTGTTTAACTTCCATCAACGTTCAAACACACACACTGGCCTTTCAACAAGACTCTTTTTGGTTTCTGAAAGAGGCCCACAATTTTCCTCAGAGCTTGTGTTTAAGTCAAAAGATAAGCATATTCAATTATGCAAGGAGGCAAAGGCTTGCTGGCGATGTCTGGGAACAGCAGCAAAATCTGGCAAATGCAAGGACAAGTTAAAGAGCAAGATTCAAGCACGGGCCATCTCTTATATTTATGGTTGTGAGCCTAGCCTTTAACGGCTGAGCCATCTCCCCACCCACAGGCCATCTCTTAGCGTACACAGGATCTGATGGTGACACCAGAGTATAAATCAAAATCTGTTCCAGCACGGATGGGCAATTATCTCTGCCCTCTGACGGCCAGGTTAACACAATGATACAGTCTAACCTCTCAGCCCAAGGCCTGACCTTAAACCATCCTGTGTAACTGCTCAAAAGGAAGAAGAAGCTTTGAGGTAAGAGTTTAAAAGTCAGTCCCAATTGGGCATGTGAACTGTTGACATTTCCTCATACAAGGAGGGCGCAGAGAGGATCACTGGACCCTTTCCTCTGGTTCTAGCTACTCCTCCCAACCTTGCGTATGAAATGCCCTAACTGCACAGGGCCTTGAAGTCTGGGGAGGCTAAATCATATAGGCTAGGGAAGGTTAACCCAAAGGACCTCCATCTATGTGGGCATGGAAGCTGCCCCCCACGCTGACGGCAGGCCTTCCGGGAAGGCTGCTTGCTATAGGGTCACGCATGCTCCTACCCAGCAGCTTCCCACGCATGCTCTGTAAGTAACACACCTAAAGAAACACGTTGCTCCTCAGGGTGAACTTTGGTAGAATCAAACTTTGGTTTGTCCCAGGGACCTCGTAAGGAAGGGGCAGATGTGGGTTACGCCCTCGCCCCGGGAGAGATATTCCCATGAGAGTTACAAAAGAATTCATGTAAGTAGTCCAAAGCGAAAGACCTACATTGCAAGGTCAACATGGAAGCAAAGAACAAGGAAGGTGTCGAGAGACACTGTACAAGCTCTGGCAGTCTCCCACCCTATTTCACGGATTAGTTTCAGTTTCAGGCAGACTTCCTCTCCCTCCTTCCTAACTAACAGCTTACAGCTGTGTTTGCAGATTAATGCGTTTCCCTAGGAGCTTCCGGTCTCCTCATTCCTGTACTAGCTCCGCCTCTTCCAACTGTCCTCCTGGCCCCTAGCCTAGTGTCATAACTACCCACGAATGGCAGGGCTTGGAGGAAGCGGACAGGGAAGTGTGCATACCTTCAGCTTCGTTTATCTAAAGGTCACCTCAATCGCTATTTCGACATCAGTTGTAGTTGACTAGGAGCTGGCATAAAACACATTAGAAATCATCTGTTTCTCTTGGGGCACAGAAGCAGAGAGGAGTGAAGGGATGCTGGCATTTCCCAGGGTGGCCTTGAAAGAAAGGAACTGGTCCTGGATATCCTGGTTCCCAAGCAGATTAGTAAGGTGGATGTGTGCAGCCACACAAGATAGCCTAAAGAAATGAGATGTCCAAACATAGGCCTAGCTGGAGCCATTCCATTGTCCAGTAGAGGAAATCAGGATGCAATGGCAGGTTACTGGAATTCTACTGTGTAGGAAAGCCTGTCAGGGCCCACCACAGACACCTCAGGGGAACCCACCACAGACACCTCAGGAAGGGCCCACCTCAGGAACCACAGGGTTAGCCCACCACAACCATCGGATTACACTCTCCGTCTTGTATTTTCCTGCTGTCTTTGTGTTTCCTGCCAAGGTTTTGAGAGACCTTTTCTTTTCCTTATTTCATCCGTTAGTTGCTGTTCTACACATTAAGGAAAAATAGGCTGGTTTCCCCCATTTCTTGCTTCCCTCACTCTCTCTGAACACACCATAGCCTTGATCACAGTAAAATGCGCTGCACGGCCGGAGCTGCCTTACCTGTAGCCGGTGCTGTTTCTGCCAACCACCAGGTGCTTGGGCTGATCGCCGCACGTATAAAGGTTGAAGTCATTCTCAGGCACCAAGTCCACATCGTGGAAAATGAAGCAGTCCCAGTTCTCCTCCTTGAGAGCTTCCAGATAGCCCACATTCAGGAGTTTGGCGCGATTAAACTTCTTACTTCCAGTCTGTCAAGGACGAAAAGTAAAATGAAAAGAGCACCAGGGGAAAGGCACTCACGCGGTCTCCCCTTCACTCCCATTTAGAAGAGGGTTATATTACCTTTGTTTATTCACAGGACAACATACACTGGGCTCTAACAGAGGAAATGGCGAGGAAAACAAAAGACCGGTCCATTTTGGCTTTGTGTTTAACGCACGTTTATAGTCTATAATTTAGAACCATCTCCTTGAGTCTGGCAAGCTGTCTGATGGTGGATAATTTATTTAAGAAGACTAAAAAGTTCCGTAGATCGGTTGCATGAGAGTAAAGTTTCTTAGTTTTTGTGTTTGAGACATTTCTCCAAGCTGGCTGAGAACTCAGAGCAATTCTCCTGCCCTCAGACTCCCAAATGCATAACATTTGGGATAACAGCATGAGCCCTCATACCAAGTCAGACAACATCCTAATTTTTTAAGAACTATTTTATTTCTCTCTCTGTGTGTGTGTGTGTGTGTGTGTGTGTGTGTGTGTGTGTTTGCGTGCCCATGTGAATATATGCTACATGGGTGTAAGTAGCCTCTGAGGACAGAAGAGAGCATCAGGTCCCCTAGAGCTGGAGTGACAGGCAGTTGTGAGCTGCTGGAAGTGAGTACAAGGATCTGAGCTTGGTCGTCTGCCAGAGATGATGTGGTCTTAACTGCTGAGTCATTTCTCCACACCCCAGCCTGCATACTTACTACCAAACGGTCCACTCAAAGGTTACCAAGATCGTTTTTAAAAAATGAAAAGAACAGTATGAGGTATTTTAGCACACACACACACAAATGTAATGTGGTTTAAAAATACAAATAAAAATAAAGCAACTCTAATTGGGCACCACTTAATTTCCTTAGAGGCAGGAGCTCCTGTCAAGTGCTCTTCTAAACTCAATTTTTAAAGTGCCTTTATTAACCCATACGAAACTACAAAACCTCCTTTTCTTTATTTTTAAAATTTACTCACTTTGTATCCTGATTGTAGCCCCCTCACTCATCTTCTCCAGTTCCATCCCCCTTCCCTCTTACCTCCTCCCCCTCCTCTAGTCCACTGAAACGGGAAGTCCTCCTCCCCTGCTATCTGACCCTAGCCTATCAAGTCTCATCAAGCCTGCCGGGATCCTCTTCCTCTGTGTCTGGTAAGGCTACGTCACCAGGGGGAAGTAATCAAAGCGCAGGAAACAGAGTCCATGTCAGAGACTGTCCCTGCTTCCCGTATGAGAGGACTCACTTGGAGACTGAGCTGCCCATGGGCTATATCTGAGCAGGGAGTCTAGGTCGTCTCCATCTGTGGTCCTTGGTTGGTGCATCAGTCTCTGCAGCCCCTCTTGGGCCCAGATATCTTGGCTTTGTTGCTCTCCTTGTGGAGCTCCTGTCCCCCCTTCTTCCATAAGACTCCCTGCACTCTGCCCAAAGTTTGGCTGTGAGTCTTTGTACAAAGCCTCTTAAATGTACCTGTCACATCAATTAGTGTCACTGCTTTCCTGTCACCACTGGACGCATCTCCAGCTAACCTTATACACCGATACTGAACTTCCAAGAGACTAAGCTAAGAGCTTGTCAGGAAGGACCAAAAAATTGTGACCTGTCAACAGAGAAGGTTGTTGCTAATACTTCTACGCTACTTAAAAGTTTCTTGAAAATGGCTTAAGAAACTCCTGTTACAACACTAATGGCAGAGGCTCTTCCTCACAGTGGCCTCACGAAAGGATCTGAAGACTACATGGCCTGAAATATCAACACCATATGTGCAATAGGACCCAAAGACTTTTCAGCATAACTTTGTTCAAGGTTAATTGAATTCTGCAAGAATAAAGTCTGACTTGACAGCTTATCATAACAAGATTGTAAGCAATTCTTAGAAGTTACCACAGCACTTTCCTGAAAGTGTAGCAAAAGTTGATATGTTTCTGTTCGTACACATAACAGGCACATGTTTATGATCTCAGGACTTGCCAGAGGCAGAGGCAGGAGGACAGAGAGTTTCAGGCTACCCTGTCTGGGGGGTTTGAGGTGGGGAAGCAGGAAGATGAAAGGAAGAGGAGCAGGAGGAAAAAAAAGGGAGTCTTGAGAGACTGCCATATATGCCTAACAATGTGGGTTCAACGCCCGAACTCACATTAAAAAAAAAAAAAAAAAGATTATTCTGTAACCAGGCAAGGCTTCCAATGGAGGGATGGGAAAACCAGCCACCCACACAAAACCTTTGACCGATAATCCTGTCCTGCCCATAAGATGTGCCGGGGGAAAGGTGCCACACAACCTGTGGAAGTGGCCAACCAATGGCTGAGCCAACTAAAGAAAGAAAAAGCCAGACGAGGGGAAAAACAGGTAACCCCAACATTCCTGTGGTAAGAGGAGAGGTAGAAACAGGAGGAATGCCTGGATGCCCTCAGACGATCTAACGTGGAGTACACAACAACAGAAACAGTAAGAGCGACACGGGCTCAACAGGTAGAAGATGACAATCAACTTGTGTCATCATTCACCCGTGCACCTGCAAGCATACATGCACGCACACACGAGTAATCTTTTGAAAAAGAAAACAAACCAAAGACAGTACCATATTCTAGTAGCTACCATCCTGAATAAGAACTCAGACTCCATAAATCCATTTTAACCGATGATGCTAAATACAACATTAATTCTAAAGCAAAGTGGGTGGGCTGGAGATACTTGCCAGCACCCAGAAAGCCCTGAGTTCAACCTGCAGTCCCAATGTTTGAGAAGTAGAGGCAGGAGGATGAGAAATTGAAGATCCTTGGTTGTGTTCCAGGCAAGCCTCTGCTACAAAAGACCCTGTTCAACAAACAAACAAGAAGCTATAGGAAAGATGGCTCAATGGTTAAGAGCAACAGCTGCTGTTATAGAGGGTCTGGTTCCCAGTACCCACGTGTTGGCTCACAACTGTCTGTAGGTCAAGTTCCAAAGAATCCAGCACCCTCTCCTGACCTTGCTGGTACCAGTTATACACAACGGTACAGCTACATACATGCAGGCAAGTATTCACATACCTAAAATAGAAATAAATCTTAAAAAAAAGAACCTCCAAACTTTATTTCAAGTCCTAAAAACTGAACACAGAGATACTGTATAAGAACCCTTTATGAGGGTTATAAAGAATACCTTTATGAGGTATCTCATAAAGTATGCACTACACAGGAGAACCCATTAGCTGTCAATTCTACCTAAAGTTGGTATCATCCACTACATCCGATATTAAGTAAACAGTTAATAATCTTGCCCACATTCTTATTGGAGCTTATAAGGACGGGCACTATTTGAATTGCCCATGATGATATTAAAAAGCTTAAACACAGGGGTATGTGCACACCTGTAGTCCCAGCACTCTGGGAGGCAGAAGAAGGCGGATTGCCATGAGTTCGAGGCCAGCCTAGTCTACAAAGCTAGTCCAGGACAACCAAGGCTACACTGAGAAACCCTGTCTCAAAATTTAAAAAAAAAATTTTTTTTTTAAATAAAAAACAAAAAAGCTCAGACACAGATGTTTAAACTGATGTTCTATTTTTTTTTTCCTTTAATACATTTTAATGCCAAATTGAGGTATGTTTAGTCACCCACCACTGATTGACTTGAATTCTTCCAAGGCAGCCTGTGGCTGGTTACACGCTGTTCCTAACTGTTTCTGGAAGCCAACGGAGTGAGTCAAGAAAGTGAACATAAAACCTCATCTGTTTGAGATGGTGAGTAGTGGTGGAATTAAAGGCCGGATGATTGGAGAGCACAGAAGTCGCTGGCAGCACCCACTTGGCACTCTATGAAATCACTCACGAGTTCTCTGCCGCACAGCCTCATTCAATGACAACAGGCAGAAGCCCAAGCTTGTTACACCGTGTAACACACAGTCGACCCAGAAGTGAGGTCAGGGGCGCATGCGTGCCAGCGCCCGCTAATGTGGGAGGGCTCTCAGAAACAGGCTCTTAAGTTAGGACAATACCATTCCCCAGAGCTTGGTCCGGTGGCTCTGCTTTCAGCATCAGAATCCCCTCTGCTCTCTTCCAGGGTAAGTGAGCGAAGAACATTCTCCTGATGACGATCCTTTCACCCAAAACAAATGGGCATGGGGCCGTGTCCTCGGACTCCAGGCCCCCCCCGCCCCGCCCCACTCACCTGGTGGATGATGTAGACACCGTAATCCAGCTGCTGCCGCTGCAGGAAGGGGTGCAGGTGCTCCAGCAGGTAGACCAGGTGCTTCTCCCTGTTCCGGTGGGGAATGAGGATGGCGACCCGCTGCAGAGCCTTACATTCCTCAGGACGGTAGCGGCCCCTGGACACTTTGGGGTTCTCTGCCTGCACTTCCTCCAGAGTGAGGTCTGGCTTAAAAAGGAGTTTGCTCTGGCCTCCTGTGAGCGACACAAACGCACGCCATCACGGGGGCTGTGGCATGAAGCTCTGCGGTTTACATGGCCGATTCAAGATGAAGGCCTAGCTTTCCTCCTGGTGCGCCCTGAGGGCCACAGGAGGGTAGGCGCCCATTGCTCTCCTTCGATTAAAGGCTCGCTTACTCTCAACTGTACACAGGAGCAGGGAAATGGCAGCCTGCTGCCAAAGCAAGTAACACGTTTTAGGGCATACCGCGTGTCTGGACGATCAACCCTGACCCTAAGATCCATGTTCGCATGGGGTGTGCAGACTGTCCGGCCACCTCACTGCCCACTAAAGATCAGGGCAAGACTGAGTTAACCCCTCCACTGGAAGAAGGGTGAAACTTGCCCTTTTCCTACTTCCGCCCTCACTCCTCGTGTTTAGCTCCCTGCAGGCCGGGCACCAGGAAGAAGCTGAAGCCCACCGGACTCCCTAGCCAGCCTGACAACTACATACACAATGCAACTCTGCTCCCATCATGCCACCAACGAAGACATTTCCGGTTATCTGCGGGTGAATCAATCCTGGGCAAGGCTTCGAATGTCAGTCTCAAGTAAGTAACCCTCATTTTCTGACCATAAACGAGGAGGCACAGTCCTGCTTAGGAACTGAAACAATCTCGCCTGTGCCTTACACCCCTCTTTAAGGCCCCAAACACACCCGACAGGCTTTAAACCTGCGAGCTGCTTTTGAGCTGTACTGTTCACTTTTCTCTCTAAGCGGCCTAGGGCAACACTCCGAGGCATGCTACAACAGACAGGCTGCAGTTTCCACAGCAGGGTACCGACGACAAGCCTGCAAAGCATCCCGGGCTACCCAGCAGACCTCTCTACAGGTATACACAGGGGTCCATAGCTGGGCAGCTGAACTGCACAGCTGGAATGGGGCATACTCCACTACCTATTGCCTGCTCTACTGGCTCCAGAGAAAGAAAGGCAAACGGGGGAGCAGCACACTGTGGCCCACAAGACAGGGGTGGCCCACAGGGATCTGAGATTCCTTACGGCTGGGGCTGAGACAGTCCCTGAGTCCTTCCTAGAAGAGGAAAGAGATGTAAGCTGAGTTTCAGATGACTACATAGAAACCCACTAGGCAGACATGTATTGAGGAAAGGCATTCTGGGAAAGGGGAATCAGGACAAGAGAAGGCTCAAAGGGTTGTCTGGGAAATCGTGAGCATTCTGATGCTCCGGAGAATCAACATGTGTGAGAAATTTTCTCTCTCAAAGGTGCTATTTACTGTTCGCTGAAGCTGAAAGGCAAGACATCAACAGGAAATCAAAACACACAAGGTCCTGGAGAAATAAACCTGAGATCACTGAAGAACATAGTCCTGTCTATATTTATTACTCTAGATTGATGGCCAAAAGGACACTAACAGATGAGACATAAATGAAAGACTCATGCTTTCATCTTCCATCATCAATGCAGGAGAGTATGCCCAGACAGGCCATTGTCTTAGAGAGTGAGAAAGAAGTGGGACAGAACCATGAGTCTAGATCAGTTGACCTAATACAGTATGAATGAAATTATGTTCATTCATATGGCAGGACTGAAATGTATATGCTTCTGATGTGTTTTGTTTTGTTTTGTTTTTTTACTTTTCCACACATCTGTTACATAATTTTTTTTTTTTTGTAGTTCTTACAGAATAAAAACAACAAATACTTACTGAGGTTTGGAGACACTGAAGGACAGTTATCGAGTTCTGCCTTTTTCACAGTTGCATCATGGGCCAGAGTGACTTCATTCCCCAAAGGTATGACCTTGTGGAAACTAGCCATGAAGCCCCTTGCCTTGGGGATCACTTGAATAGCACCCACAAAGTAGTTGCTGGTGGCCCATCCAACCACTGTCAGGCACAAGGAAAGGAGCAGCAGTAATCGTAATCTGTAGGAGATATGGTAGGGTGGCTTGCAGCCCATGACTCCTACAATGCGTTATCTCTGCTTCCACTGCAGTGAGGAGGCTTCAAATTGCGCTTTTCCGGTATGACTGAGAATGTGATGACACCTCATGAGGCGATGTATGCCACTGCCTGGCAGTTCCTTCCCAGAGACCACTGAAAGGCAATCACAAAAGATGTGCTGTTTTGAATGGAAATCCTGCCCTAAAATGACAGACCTCAGCACACATTAGAAACCCAATCCCAGCTGAGCTGCAGTCTCAGTGAGATGCTAGCCCAGGGTGGAGCCCGACAGAGTGAGGTGGGGTGGGACAAGAAACACGAAGGAACCCAAATAGAGGATGTCGACAATCTACAAAACAACAAAAAAAACAAACAACAAAAAAAAAAAAAAAACAGTAAGGATCAAGGACTTTGTTTCAAAGAGATACCCGAATCCGAATCCTACCACTTGTCAGCCCTGAGATCTATGCCTGGCCACCTCACCTAGCCTACATTCTCTCCTCTGTAGCGTGGAGTGAAATAATACCCACCTAGATAATATCTACCTTCCTACAGGGCTGCACTATCACATAAGGTACTGACCAGCCTCCTGACATGCGCTAAGCAGCCACCGAACAGTGAGCATCACTCTCCCAGCTACATTAGAGAAGCTAGTCCAGGAATGGCCAGTGGGCAGACGTACTGGCAGCCACGTACTCAGTGGTGTTTCTCACAGGTGATAAACTGTCCCATTGATTTCATACTTCAATACCATGAGGTGGGATGACGCAAACTCACCTCTAAGAGGGGCCATGTTCTCGATTATTAACAAAAAAATTCAGCTTTGAGGGATTTTTCATCGATACCAGTAACTTCACTAGATGGTAAGGATACTTACCGAGGGCCTAATGGGCACAACTTGCAACACTCTCACATCCCCCCTGCACCTCCAAAGTCATGTTATACCTCAAACTCTAAACATCTTATCAGGGAAAATGCAGTGATGAGTACTAAAGCCAGACCCCAGATAGTTTCCATGGCCAAACAGACTGCCTGCGCTGAGAACCGACAAGGAAATACTTCTGATTAAATCTCGAGACAAGAAAGGAAAAAGAAATGCATGAAGTATGTCTACCACCCAACTTCAGATCCTCACCAGAGCTGGCCCTGGCCCCCCTGACAGGTGGCATGGCTCCCTGTGTATATTAAGAAATCTGTCTTTGGGGTGGCCTGGAGTTCTCTGCAGGCCCAAACTTCCTAGGCAGCTGCAGAGACTGCAGTTGTCCTGTCTCAGCCTGCTCGGCTGTTCTAATAAAAACCGTGACCTGACTTCTCCTGCTTTTGGAGACTTTCTGGAAAACTCAGACTGGGGGTCCAGTATGGTTGGCCTCTTGTTGAAGATCCTTGTACTAATTATATCCCCAGTGGCTTTTCCTTGTTACACACACATACACACACACACACACAAAGAGAGATTGAGAAAGAGGGAGAGAGGATGATTAAAATCCAGATTTCATATCTCTTGTTTTTGTATATATATATATATATATATATATATATATATATATATATATATGACTACTAATTCCAGCATGACGGCTATTTCTACCTGACCTCACCTTAACCTAGATGTCTCCCAAAGGCTCCATCTCCAAGTGCCATCACATTGGGAACTAACACATCACATTGGGCTTCAACATATATGGAAAATGGGGACGACAGGGAAGCAATCCTCTGTGAGATAAGATTTTCATCCTCCCTGTGTTTAAAATCGCATTTCCTTATGGGGGCGGGGCACAGGGACAGAGATCAGAGGACAATGTGTGGGAACTGGCATTCTCTCGTTTCTACCTTGTGTGGGCCTCAGGAATGAAACTCGTCCGTCAGACTCGTCAGCAAGCACCCTGACCCACTAAACCACCTCACTGGAGTCTCCTCGCCTTACAAACAAGAAGCAAAACCAGTCACCCTGCCTAGAACCACACACCTGGTTAAAGGGTGGAACCGGGCTGTGAGAGCCTGTGCTCATCAGCTGCATCCTTCCTGTGGACAGTTTATTCCTTCCTTTCATGTCTGGATACAAATACAACTGAAGTGTTGCAGGTACCTCTCTTGGTCTTCTAACTCCTACACCTTCCTGTCCCTCTCCTTGGCACTCATGGCTCCTGGAGGCGTGCTCTCGCTCCCCCAGTTGGCAGGAAGCCATCGGGAGTCTGGGCCGGCTAGACGACCTCTTGTGAACTCTTGCAAACTCTATTTGGGGAGACTTATATGTGGGGACTGGTGATCATGTTTTATAAAAATCTTTTGTAAATCTGGCCTTTGAACATTGCTTTTCTGAGAGCTATTTAAGGAAATGCCGCCTTAAAATCCTCACTGAATTAAAGGAATCTGTGATCACAAAATGACTGCAGTATGAGGAGCAGAAAGTTTATTAAAAAAACAAACAAACAAACAAACAAACAAAAAAATTATGTAGCTCTCTCATTTACAGGATGTAAGGAGGCTTGACTTAAAAAAACTAAAATAAAAGCCTACAGGGGTTGGGATGAAGTCTGAAAGCTTCGTACCTTCTATTCAATTTCGCTATGAATCTAAAATTGCTCTAAACCATTTTTTTAAGATTTCATTTATAATTATGTGTACATCTATGTATGGGTGTGTGCATTTATAATTATGTATATATCTATGTATGCGTGTAGGTGCCAACAGAGGCCAGAAGAGACTATCAGGTCCTCTGGAGCTGGATTACAGGCTACTGTGAGTTGCCCAATGTAGGGTCCAGGAATTTGAGTCCTCTGGAAGAGCAGGAGGTAGCCTTAACCACTGAGCCATCTCTCCAGCCTAAAAAATATTTTTAAGAACGTACCAAGGAACTAAGGAGCTAAGAATTGTGATATGTTAATATTGCTGAGGTGTAGTATATAAAATTTGTTCAGAGGCAAGACGCTTATCCTCAAAACAAAAAGTGTCACTAATACTTACTTAATAATTCCTACCCCCTGCTCAGATGTAGCCCATGGGCAGCTCAGTCTCCATGGGGGTCCCCTAGAAAGGGGAGCAGGGGCTATCTCTGGCATGAACTCGATGGCCTTGCTCTTTGATCACTTCTCCCTGGTGAGGTAGCCTTACTAGGCCACAGAGAAAGAGGATCCAGACAGTCCTGATGAGACCTGATAAGCTAGGATCAGATAGTACGGGAGGAAGACCACTCCTACCAGTGGACTAGGGGAGGAATGGGGGTGGGGAGAGAGGAAGGGTGGGACCAGGAGCTGATGAGGGACAGGGCTACAGCCAGAATACAAAGTGAATAAATTGTAATAAATAAATAAAATAAAAAAATAATTAGGCCTCCATTCCTAAAATCCCACTTCTTAAGACTAAATCTGGCCCAATTAAACACAATCACTTACCCCTTATAGGCTTAAGTATCCTCCATAAAACTTATGGTATAGAAGAAAGTTCAAGGGCAAAACTTCTTTGTTTCTGTGAAGAGGGAAAAGATAGGGTTTAGAACACCTCTGTGTGTTCAAGAGAGCCCTCCTGCCTTCTGCCTGTCATCTAAGTGGCCAGAGGCCTGGAGACAGCTGCTCTCCTCTCTGCACGTTTCCCTAGCTTATATAAAACCTGGGAGGAGGGAGCATGTTCGTTATAATGATGTTGTAAGAACTTAACAAGAAGGCACACCCCAACACCTTCCTGGTTCCTAGAACTGCAAGTACTTGCTGACTGCCATCTGCTGGTTCATCTGTAATCGGAATATTAATCAAGATAACCACACACAATCCTACCTCTGCTGAAGTAAGGATCCTTGTGGTAACAATTTTCACTTTTCTTTCAATGAGTACCTAATCCTTTTATAAGCAGAAACACAGTGACTTTTCAGACGAAAATTATCTCAGGGGCAGGTGACTCCCACGTGGTACTCAGGAAGGTACCACCAACTTATTTGTACGGTTATTTAAGTAACTGTGGGCCTCTCCCTCTTCCCAGAGCCCATGGTCCGCTGGCCTCATTGTTTCTAGGCTGTGGTGAATCAACATATCATGGTAGGTGTCCTGTAGGAAGAGAATTTTCTTACCTTGGAGCCAAAAAGTAAGAGAAAGGGGGAGAGGCAGGGATCCACTACCCTCTTCAAGGGCATGCTCGTGGCTCTGCAAGACCCATTTTATAACAAAAGTTGCCAGGAAACAATCAGGAAACGTGAAATAAACGGAAATAGCAAGTGACTGGGGTTGTTTTATGTAGTATATGTTTATGGAAGACACAAGAATTTCTGGTGTGTGGGGGGTCGGTAGAGGCTCCCTGAGCGTCCCTTTCTAGGTCATTTTCAGCTCTCAGATAGTTCTGTAGTGGGGTCACGGAAGTGCACCTTCTGCAGTCAGGTCTACCAGTGAGTGGTCCTAATGGTTGAGAAGCTCTGAGATAACTGGGGGGAAAACAAACAAACAAACAACAACAACAACAAAAGCAGGCAACTGACATCCCAAAAGGCTAGTTCAACTCCTTATCAAGAGCATGAAGGTTTCCAGGCCAGTGATCCGGGTTTTCTGAGGGTATCTGCCGTTTATTTGAAAGCACATCTCATCTGTGGTGCCAAACGTGCTTTGGCCAACTCCCCAGAGGAGGATACAAAGCTGTAGATTTCTACATTCCACTCTAGAACCAATAGGTCCAAACAGCTACATCTGAGACCCGGGATGAAATGTAACCAGGAACCAACTTACACACAGTGAAGTCTCAGAACCAGTGAGAGAGACCAAACCCAGGACAGAACAGAAACCTGAGATATGTCAATTGTCCTTCTGGTGAAGCAGATACATGAAAATGGGATTTTTAAAATGCATTTCACTCATTCAGAAAGGCAAACACATGGACATCAGAAGAGGGAGAAAACAGGGAACAGGACAGGAGCCTACCACAGAGGGCCTCTACAAGACTACCCAGCAGGGTATCCAAGCAGATACTGAGACTCAAACTTTGGGCAGAGTGCAGGGAATCTTATGAAAGAAGGAGGAGATGAAAGACCTGGAGGGGACAGGAGCTCCACAAAGAGAGCAACAACCAAAAATCTGGGCACAGGAGTCTTTTCTGAGACTGATACTCCAACCAAGGACCATGCATGGAGATAATCTAGAACCCCTGCACAGATGTAGCCCACGGCAACTTAGTATCCAAGTGGATTCCCTAGTAATGGGAACAGGGGCTCTCTCTGACATGAACTCAGTGGCTGGCTCTTTGATCACTTCTATCTGAGGTGGGAGCAGCCTTACTAGGCCACATAGGAAAACAATGCAGCCAGTCCTGATGAGACCTGGTCAGATCTAGGGTCAGATAGACCCTAGTCCTGATAGACTAAGGTCAGATGGAAGGGGAGGAAGACCTCCCCTATCAGTGGACTGGGGGAAGGGCATGGGAGGAGAAGAGAGAGGGAGAGTGGAAGTGGGAGGGGATAAGGGAGGAGGCTACAGCTGGGATACAAAGTGAATAAATCGCAATTAATAAAAATAAATAAATAAATTTTAAAATAATAAAATGCATTTCACTATATATGACTTTTGATTCATCAGTTAGTATATAATCAGAGATCTGTAGCATTGACATCAACATTGCTAAAACAACAGAACCTTAAAATGAGTTCAAAAGATAACAGGAATATTTAACCGATATATTACATCCTAGAACATATCCTTTTATTCAAACGTGCATAAGGGACTGACTGGAGAGAGAGCTTAGTCAGCAATGTGCCCACCACACAAGAACCTGACATTGATCTGTTTCAGAATCCACCCAAGATGTTGACTCTGGCTTTTAATCCCAATGTCATAAGTGGTTGTCCTCCAGCCTGAGCATGTGCACACAAGCACACACCCAAAACTGGGTGCTTAAAAGACCCTAACTAACTCTTGGAGAAAGGATTCACCTTAGCCAAGTCGGAAAAAAAAAAAGTAACATAAAAATGTATATGAAACACAATCCCAAGAATACAATATGTGTGTGTGCATAACTTCTGCCCATACAAAATAGCAGAAACAGTCACAGAGACAAATTTGAGAAAGTTGTGCTTTTAATCCAGAGTTGGAGTGGTTCATTGCCAGAAACAATGCCGTTGCTTTCTAGTAAAACAAGCAAGCAAATAAACAAAACAAAAAACCTCGTTTAAAATATTCTTTAAAATTTTAAGGACATTATTATAGACAGGGAGCAGTACATTTAGTTACATAAAGTTGGTGGCAACCTGATTATGTAAATTTTAAGAGGACCTATTCTAAATATGATATACAAACCCCTATTTACACACACACACACACACACACACACACACACACACACACACTGGCAGTGAACTTCAGTGCTAGCCACGACCCTGTGGACGTTTCTTAAAATACCTATCCTGGGTTGACACGCAAAGGTTTTTGTTTCAGTGGTCTGGGGTGAAGCCAAGAAATTTATCTTTTGAACAGGAACCTAGATAATTCTGGCACATACCATTGTTCACTGATAGTTTATAAAAAAAAAAAAAAAAAAAGACTAGAATAGCCAGGAGTCACCAGCAGCACTAAGAAGACTGAAGCAGGAGGATTGCCCCAAGTTCCATTGTACCCCCACTCCCCGCACCGAATTCCAGACCAGTATGGACTGCATTTATGAGTTCTCGGCTGACTTGCTTTGGATGTTCCCAATGTGGATAAAAAGTCTTCAAAGAGAGGTTTGGTGGTTGGCTACCAAGGGCCACACCATCACTAGCTCAGCCTAGAGAAGCCACTAAATACTTCTATCAAGTGGCACATAAAATGTACTAACAGAGTCGCTGTTATGTCCCTCCCTCCCCATTCCTTATCAAACAGTCCAGCGTGGTCAGCAATTCTTTTTGAGAATTTTTAACCCAATCAAAAGCTGTGGCTCTCTCGAAAATGCTGTCAGGTACACAAACGAGTGGCCACAAAGGCCATACCTGTTCTTTAAAAAATTAACTTGAAAAACAAAAGGAAAGAAAACCAACCAACAAAGCATTGTTTCCTTCCCTGGAAGCATTCCTGCGCTCTCTGGCAGGTTGCTGTTACAGCCTTCGACGCTCTTATCTTTAATTTCACTTTCTCAACCTGAACCAGATCTGAGACTCCTTGAGTTCTCAACTCTCAAATTACCACGGTCTTTCTGCTCTTTCATCCCCAAACCAGTGGGCTGATCAGCCAGGGCCAGGGCTGCCCCCACCTCCTCCTGTCTCGCCCACCTCAGAACACTTGGCAACCACAGGCACCCAGCTTGGCTATTACCCTCCTTAGGTTATCGCCCTCCCCATCCCCCCGCCCCCTCACTCCACAAAGGCCTTCGCGAGGTCCCACATCCTTCAACATCCGAACCCCAAAACAAGAGTTAATCACCGTTATCTAAGGGAAGCCAGAACATCAAGGGGTACGGATCCACAGACCCCGGGGGGGGGGGGGGATCAGGTGCCCGACCTACAGCAGGTGTGTCTGATGTCCTTCCAATCCCATGTGACTGCCCCTTGCCTGGCGTAGGAAGCTCCGCGCTGTCCCGGCCCTCACAGGCACGGAAGTACAGATCTGCTGTCCCAGGTGAAACCTGGTCTAACCAAGACACGGAAGGATGACGGGCCTTTTCCAGGTAAAAGCGCCCGGCAACGTCAGCACCGGGGACGCGCGCGACGCGCCCTCCCTGCGCATGCATCACCCTTCTGCGCGCATCTCCCCCGCCCTCTGCGCCGGGGTGCCCACACTGGAGGGGAGCCGGAGCCGGACCCCGGCCGAGGTGGGCCTCCGCCGGCCCCCAGCCCGCCCGCCGGCCGGGGAGGAGGGACAGCCACGCCGAGGCCCGACCGCGCAGGCTCCGCGTCCGCCCGGCCCCCATCCCGTGGACCCACCCACCTCGCGGCCCGGCGGTGACCGCTCGGGGCGCGCGGCTGCGGAGCCCCGGCCCGGCGTACTCACCCCGGACGCGGCCACCCGGAGGCCGCCCGGGGATTGGGAGCCGGCGAGGAGCAGCCCGGGCGATCTCCCTGGTGGCCAGCCTGCGCCTCCAGGGGGCGGCTCTACAGCCCCGGCTCCGCCTCGCGCGCCGCGCCATCTGGGGGCGGGTCTGCCGGGTTCTCCCGGGACCTGGGGCCGCTGGCGGGTCCGCGCAGCGAGAGCGTGAGAAGAGAAGAGGGTGCACCACTTAGCGCCACACACCTTTCTGCCCCGGGCGTTTCCCGGGTTCCATCCCCGGGGGCGGCACCGGAACCTGGGGAAGGGGTCGAGACCCCCCTGCCTTACGCAGCAGGAGAAGGATGCGCTGGGCTCGCAGGCATGTGCAACCTTGTCGCTTCTCTGGGCGACGCTAAACGGAGAGTGGCCTCGGACCACATCATGGAATTCAGAAGGTCGGCAGTTACGTGTTCTGTTGTGCGTGACGTGACCAGGTGACACTGTCATCTACGGCGTTCACGCTTTAGGACCCCGAAGTCGAATACCAAGAAGGAAAGTAAAAGCGGTGTGCAAGGGAGGGACCCGAAGCTTCACCCTTGGTAACATTTTAAGTAAATGTACCGTGTTGTGTTGTGGCCATCCTGGGCCGGGAGTTGGACACAGCCTCAAGCAACTCCTGACAGGTTGCAGCCTTCGCAGCCACGCACTGTGCCACCCTGAAGACCAAATAGTGGGTTTTTTGTTTTTTTTTTTTTGCTAAAGATTTGATTGAAAATAACGGTGGGCTCTCTGTGGGCGCACAGAACGACGGACTACGGGCTGCCAGCTCCCTGGGAGAAGTTATAGGAAGACCGCCCCCATCCAGGTGGCTCTAAAACGGCGGTTCTCAACCTGTGGGTCGCGACCCCCGCCGGAGCTGCACGCCGAATATTTACGCAGCGGTTCATGACCTTGGCGGAATTGCAGTTATAAGGTAGCAACGAGGTCTAGGGCTATTCTGATGCCACACGTCTGCGTCATCGCTGTGATAGGGTAATGGCATACAGAGCCTGTAGCCTGAGGCTCCTGCATTAGGCTGAGGCCTCTGAAGAGCACTGGAGAGGTCCCAAGACTACTGAGCTCTGGGGAGAAGCCATGGAAACTCTCTGTAATAATTTATATATGATTTAATTTAAGTAAAATTTCTTTTTTTTTTTTTGATGTATTTATTTATTGTGTAGTGCTGAGGGCAGGAATCAAGACCTGGGCTACCTGAGGTGAACCACAGCCACGGTGCTCACTACCATCGCCACACCCGGCTTCTCTACCCAGGCACGCCTGGAGTGCTCAGTCTTTTGTAAACCATTAAGCTGCTTCGCTTTTGTCAACTTGACGTCACCTAGAGTCATCCAGGAAGAGGGAACTTTTGAGACCATAACGTGTAAGGTTAAATGAAATCTTCCCTCCCCTGGTTACTTCTGGTCGTGGGGTTTATCAGAACAACAGCAAACAAAGGAGCAATCACCAAGCACAGGGGACCTCTTGTGAATGACCATGGCAGAAATAAGACCCCATAGAATTAGCCCCTCCCCCCCAAAAAAAAGAGATGTTAAAGCCAAAAGGCTTTTGACAAATTGAATTTAACATAGTTTGAACAGCTAGAGACCCACAAATCAGGTTTTCATCAAATCAAAGGAGTATAGTATCCTGGGTAGTTTTTGGTTGGTTGCTTGGTTGTTGTTGTTTGGAGGGATTCAAGACAGGGTTTCTCTGTGTATCCTTGGCTGTCCTGAACTCATTCTATAGAGCAGGCTAGCCTCGAACTCACAGAGATCCATCTGCCTCTGCCTCCTGAGTGCTGGGATTAAAATCGGTCCACACCTCGCCCAGCTTCCTGGTTACTTTTTTTCTGCTAACTGGACAAAAGCTAGAGTCCTCTGAGCAGAGAGAACCTCAACTGAGAAAACGCTTCTATCAGATTGGCCTGTAACGTATTTTATTTATTGATGATTGCTGTGGGAGGGTCCAGCTCACTGAGGGTGGTGCCAACTGTAGGCAGGTTGTCCTGCGTTATATAAGACAGCAGGCTGAGCAAGCCGTGAGGAGCAAGCCAGTAAACAGCAGCCCTCCATGGCTGCCTGTGCTTCCGTCGCTGCTTGGGTCCCGGCCTTTACTTCCCTTTTATGATGGATTACAATGTCACGCTGAAATAAACTCTTGCCTCCACGGGTTTGCTTTGATCAGTGTTTTACCGCAGCAATGGGAAGCAGACTGAGATAGAAATGGGTACCCAGTGTGGAGTTTTGCTGTGACTGACCCATCATGTTGTTTGGGGAAGGAGCAGTAAGAATGGAAGGAAAAAGAAAACAAGGCACACTACAGATTAGAGAAAACAGTTCTGGTCCTTTGCACTAGGCTGGAACTAATTCTGATTTCCATTACCAGAGTAGAAAAATATGTAGTCGGCAGGACATTGGGCAGCATCCCCGAAGAAGTCTTACCTTGTAGAAAATTAGCCTACCCTGAGCATGTCTCCAGACCTGCCTGGCAAGATCCAAAAGGAGAAATTGTAACCAAGGAATCAAGAACACTTACAGAAATGTAAAAAATACTCAACATCCATAGGATAAAATTCATAATGGCTGACATCCAAAATGGTATGCAAAATGGCAGGAAAATGACCACTAGCAAGAACAGTCTACTGACAGTGATCTAGAACCAGAATTGATACTAGAATTAGCAGAAATGAGGGTTAGGACAATTCTACGTATATTCTATACATTCAACAAGTTAAGCTGGTTGTGGTGGCTCATGTCTGTATTTCCAACATTGGGAGAAGCAAGATTGATGTGAGTTTGAAGCAAGCTTTGGCTTCATAAACTGTGTCTCAGGAAACAATAATTAGTCAGGTGTGGTGTTACATGCCTGCAGTATCAGAACTTGGGAGGTAAAGACAGGAGGATCTGGAGTTCAAGATAAGCCAAAACTGTATAGGGAATTTGAGGCCACCCTAGCAGTGTGAGTCCCTGTTGAGAGAGAGAGAGCCAGGTTGTAAGACAAAAACATGTCAAAGAGGAGAAATGGAAGTATGTTCTTTTTTAAATTTATTCATTTTTATTTTACATGCACTGGTGTTTTGTCTGCATATATGTCCGTAGGAGGGATCTGATCTCCAAGAACTTGAGTTACAGACAGCTATGCTCTGCCATGTGGTTGCTGGGAAATGAGCCTCAGTCCTCTGAAAGAGCAGCCAGTGCTCTTAGCTGCTGAGCCATTACTCCAACCCTGGAAGTACAGTCTTATAAAGTTCTTTTTGTTTAATTTTATATATGTGTATGGATATCTTGCCTGCATGTATGTATGTATGTGGACTACATGCATTCCTTGTGCCTGTAGAGGTCAGGAGAGGGCATCCAATCTGGAAATAAAATTACAGACACTGTGAGCCATCTCATGAGTGCTGGGAGGCAAACCTGAGTCTTCTGCAAAAGCATCAAATGCTCTTATCACCTAAACCATCTTTTCCAGCCCCTATTAGAAAGCTCTCATGCTATATGATACATAGCAAAATTCCTATGCTATATGTGTGTAATATTTTAAGATAGATTATGATAGATAATAATATAAGCTTTTGAGCAGCCACTAAGGAGACAAAATTACTGCCAGGGATTGGGTCAGGATCAGAGGTTTCCAAGTTCTTGGGCTTTTATTCAAAGAACTAGAATCAAAGCTGGTACAGATTTGCAAAAGTAGTGAAGAATCCTTATTTAAAGTGAAGTAATGGAAAAGGTCAGAAGATATTGCAAGAGATCAGTGGCCACATGAGCCAAGATCCTGAAGGGTCCCTATTATTGTTTGGGGTTCCTTTTCTGGAGGTCAGTAAAACTTTAGTTATTAAGGGTTATAGTGAGAGTGGTTCTCCCTTCTAACTGAATATTTAGTTATGTAATCATTTTCCTGTGGCATGAGCCCCTTCCCATAATTCATCTGATTTTAATCATATGCATGCCTATGTATGCATAAGTATAAGATGGTAAATTAGGGGAGTCTCCCTAGAAGTTCACTTGACACAGTTTTGTTTAGGTGTGTCTGAACCCAAAACCAGTTCGAGGCAGACCCGTCTTTCCATTCTTTGTATCCAAATACATTAGAAACTATCATTTACTCTCACCATGCAGAGAATAATGAGACTCTGCCTTGTGAATTCACTCCCCAAGGCTCAGGGAGCACAGCCGAAGAGTAACCAGGAAGACTGTGAGGGCCAGAAGTTTGGGAGGACAAGAGCATAGCAGCATCCTCTGGACATGGCAGGACCTCTGCATGCATGAGCTTACAAAGCAGCTGTGTTTGTGTAGACAAAACCTACCCACCATCAAGTCAGTCAACATAGCGAGGAAGAAGAGGGGCTCCTGTGCTCCCACCACTAACCAAGGAACTAGTAATGCTTGGCGGCTTCTAGGGGAAGAAGAGACAGTTTTACTTAAGGGTCTGGACCCATGCACAGTTGATGATGCTCCAATGGATGACCCCTAGAGCAGTGGTACTCAACCTTCCTAATGCTGCCCCCTTTAATACATTTCCTCATTTTGTGGGGACACCCTAACCGTAAAACTATTTTGTTGCTACTTCATGACTGTAATTTTTACTACCGTTATGGATCAGACTGTAAATATCTGTGTTTTCCTATGGTCTTAGGTGACCTTGTGAAAGGGTCATTCAACCCCCTCCCAAAGGGGTCACAACCCACAGGTTGAGAACCACTGATCTAGGAGGAGATATGGAGGGTAAATATAATCAAAATACACTGTATGGAATTTTCAAAGAATTGGCCAAAAAAAAAAAAATGTGTCTGGGGAAAGAGAAATTTAGCCCACAGTTCAGAGAGGGAATGTATGTGCAGCTTCACGGAAGCAGGGCCTGGGGTTACCAGGTGCACTGTTCAGAAAAGGCTGAGTGTGCATAGTACTTGCTGGTAAATGAGCTGGGCTGCCCATTGCGTTATTAGAAGCAGGGTGCAGGAGATGCATAACCCAACCCAAGCAGAGTCCCAGGTTACTGAGAGGCTTTTGTGCTTGCTAGCCTTAAAAAGAAATGAGTTAGCTAATATGGCAATGCAGGAAATAAAAGCAAA